TGTACAGCTATCCTTAACTAGCAAAAATGCTTTGTCTTCCTTATTATGCTTTGTCTTCAACAAAATCAGTGATAAGGGCAGAACAAGACCAGCCTGGAACTGAGGGGTAGAGGGGCGAAAGGATGGGGAAGGAGGGCAGGGTGGAAAAATGACCCAAACAATGTATGCACATGTGAATAAATGAACAACAACAAAAAGAATGTGGGGGTAGGAGACTGGTAGAGTGACTCAAAGGCCATTTGAGCAAGTGCAAAGCCCTGAGTTCAAACCTCAGTACGTTCAAAAAAGAAAAAAAAAATGATTGAAGAATGTGGGGGTAGGGGCTCCCGCCTTCCTCCAAGGACAAAACTTCTTATGGACAATGTCACGTTACTTTTATACTGTGTTTTTCTTTGTGGGAGGATAGAATCAAAATTGCAGCTTGGGTGGACTAAGATAATAGACATCATTTTTCACTCACTGGATTATGAACAATAATATCTAGTGGTAGCTGAGCACCAGTGGCTCACGCCTGTAATCCTAGCTACTCAGGAAGCAGAGATCAGGAGGATTGTGGTTCGAAGCCAGCCCAGGCAAATAGATCTCGAGACCCTATCTTAAAAAAAAACCCTTCACAAAAAAAGGCTGGTGGAGTGGCCCAAGGTATAGCCTGAGTTCAAAACCCAGTACCACAAAAAATAAATAAATAATACCTAGTGGTGAACAAATACAACAAAGTTTAGTCACTACAAGTGTCCATCTAATTTGCCACTTAGGACAAAAAAATGTGGATGGGGAATTCCTACTGAGCCTAACAAGCAGTATTTGAAAAGCATAAAAAGAAAAGGCAAGGAACAAAGGCATAGGGTAGAAAAACAACTGCGCTTCTTCAGGGAGATTTCAAGTAGCTCAAGGCCATGAAGTGTATGCAGATGAGAAAGCTGGAAAGATGGGAAGAGGCTGAAACAGGCTCCCAAGCTGTCATCTTGTACCTGAGTATGGTCATGATAATTATAACGACAGTGGTTAACATTCACTGAGCTTGCTCTGGACTGGGTACTATTCTAACTAATCCTAAAAGCAAGGTTTTGGGTTTTGTTTTTTTTTAATGCCTTTTCTATAGGGTGTAGGAGGGAAGAGCTGTTGAAGGACTTTGAGCAACTAAAATGTTGAGACTTAAATTTTTGAAACACATCTCTGTACATACTGAATAAATTCTGACAGGTGATAATCTTGTCTTTGTTTCAAAATCCCAAAGTTGAAGGTGGGGACATGATTTTTCTATAAAGCAATGATTTCTGAAGCTGGGCAATGCATTCTGTTATACCAGTCCCTCAACTTTCTTTGTTTGAAGTTTTCCACTTTTTTTTTTTTTTTTTTTTTTAAATCTCTGACTGCAGTGTGGAGATCTGATTGCAAAGTGTAAAGCAGGAAGAGACCATTTAGGGGATTGTTCATCGAGTGAGCGTTACTGAGAGCTGAGGAAGTGGCAGGAGCTTACAGAGGACATTTTAAGAGAAAAAACTGCTTAACTGGTCTGTGTGGTGGGGAGAGAGAAGTCTAAGTTTAAAGTCAGTCCTGGGTACCTAGCTTAAGTGGGATACAGGAAGAGGTATTAACACAGGGGAAAGAGACTTTGGGAGACAAAGGGAAGGGAAGGTAGATTGGATCAAGGTCGTGGATCTTTCCTAAGAAAGGCACAGTAGAGGTACCTCCAGTGTAAAGATGTTTGTTTATAAATTATCCACATGATCTACAGTATTACTACACAAAATACTTTTTACACAGCACAGATAACTTGGTATCTTTTCCCACAATCTAATAGGCTGTGTACCTCATACTCTCAAAGAGTATGCACTCCCTACTCTGAGATCACTGGTCTATGTAGACGATGGCTTTAGGATTGGATAGCCAGCCTCTTAAAACTTCAATTTAGTGGGGTGCATGGCTCAAGCGGTAGAGAGCTAGCTAGGCAAGCATGAGGCCTTGAGTTCAAATCCCAATACTGCCCAAAATTAAAAATTTTTAAATCTCAATTTACTTCCCTGTTGGGTACTATTTTCCTTACAGAGGAACAAGAATTATGTGAGATCCTGGTAAATACTGTGAGCACATTCACAGCTCAGGAGGGTCAGACATGTTGCCCTCACCCTACATTTTACCTTCTCTCCACACTTCCCACACCTCTTGCCCCAGCCCCCATTTCTTCCAGGTTAGAATAACAAAATAAATACTGTACTTTTCTCATGTGATGAAAGTGGAGATTCAAGCACTTGACTTCATGGGCATTTATTTGCTTGTCTCCATCCAATACCAAAACTAAAGGGGAACGCAGGTCATAATTCCGGCAGCTAGTCTCTTTATTGTGCAGCTTGGAAGGGGTTACATATCCTTACCAGTCCACTTAACATCCACACACTCTATATCCAGTAAGGCAAGTGACTTTCACTTGTAATTTATTCAGTAGAAATTTCATTAAAAGACTCAAAATGCCAGTTGGGCACAAACCTGTAATCCCAGCTACTCAAGAGTGGAAGCAAAAGGATAGAGTTTGAGGCCAGCTTGGGCAAAACTAAAACATACAAAGGAGCTACCGGTGTGACTCAAGTGGTAACTCACTTGTCTAGAATGCATAAGGCCCTTGTTCAATCCCCAGTCCTGCAAAAATAAATAATTCCTGATCCATTGAATATTCATTGAGATGGGGAAGAGAGGTGAATGACATATGTCAAAGATTTCAACTGCCAATTCATTACTCCAAGAGTACCCAATACACTCTGTGTGGCCACACATGACAAAGTATAACCTTATAGCTCAAGATGGTTCCCCCTAAAACATGGGTGTGAGTCCCATTCATGCTGTCATAGCAACTGCAAACAGAGAATTGTGTAAAAGAGCTCATGCTTGTAGCTCTAAGCTCCTTGAAGAATTAGCTTGGCACTGATTGTAAGGAAAAGCAACGAGGGCCTGACTCAAATCCCTAACTCCCACTGAAGAAAAGAAAATATTAAAAAGACAAGACACAGACTAGTAGGACCTCCGTGTGTAGAACAAGTCACATTTTTCTAAGAGGGTTAGAACTGGGAATTTTTTTACTCTGCTCCTACTAGAGTATAAAAATAATCTAGAGATTTTAACAAAGTACAGGTAAAATTTAAACTCTGCTTCCATCATTTTCCATAGAAAGATAAATTCCTATAAATCTTAACACTCTTAGAAACTGAAAATATGCAAAACAAACACATAGGCTCAGTGTCCAATTTTGAAATAAGCAATGACTTAATCTAAGCTAAAGGCAAAGTGACAGAAAAAGACTACAAAAAGCCTTGCCCTCAGTCACATAATCCAATTCTGCCCCCTAGCAGCTCAAGAGAGAAATACACACTAACAAGCTACTGGTTTAAGGAATTTGACATTTTAGCGTTAATATTATGTACTATGGACAATGATGCTGAGAAAGGAGGGAACAGAAGGCCCTCCACAATTAGAGAGCAACGATCCATCTTAACAGAAAATGTCCTTTTAGAAAACATCCTGGAAGCCAGGTATGGTGGTCCACACCTATAATCCCAATACTTGGGGGTCTACAGCAGGAGGACCAGAGTTGGAGGCCAGCATGGGCTAACAAGAAACTGTTTCAAAAAACAAAGGAGGAAAAAAATGCTGGAATAAGTGAGCACACCCTAAGACCTAAAGGACTGCTCTAGATCATCTCCAGTTTATCTGAAAGGGCCTGAAGGACCCTGAAGATACCTGACCTCTTTGAACAGTTAGGTGAGACCAATAGTTCACGGGGCTGAACCAGTTTATGTCATGGAAAAACTCCCTCCTCCTCCTCCTCTCTTCTATTTTAGCAAGGAAGTGTGTTGATGGCTATTAGACCTACTTGATACTGCTTCTCATAAGACACACCTACTTCAAGCTCTTTAACACTTTTATTTTTGTGGTACTGGCGATAGAACTCAGAGCCTTGTGCATGCTAGACATGCACTCAACCACTGAGCTATATCCTCAGCTCTCTTGACTACTTCTTAAATACATGTTAGTGTCCACTTTTCCCTAAAAAATGTAGAGACTAGTCTAAAATAAGTTTTTATTATTAATAAAGAATCGCAGATGTCAGGCATGGTTGTACACACCCCTAACTCCAGCACTCAGGATGCTGTGGTAGGAAGTGATTGTAAGTGCGTTAGCTTTAGGCTAAGTAGCATTCAAGGCCAGCCCAGCCTGGGCTACATAGTGACTATGTAGTATAGTGTCTCACCAAAAAGAAGAAAAAAATTATACACATATGGAACCAATTACCAATAGTCAACCTTGGACTCCAAATTAAATGAAACATTTAAGTTGGCACAATGAACAGGAAGGGAGGGGAGTGGCTAATAATTAGTAGAACAAAAGTACTAGGTTTTTATATACCTCTTTCCCAAGTTACACTGACAAGGATTTGAAGTAATAAGCCCAAGTCTTTTCATTCCAAAATAAACTCTAACGAAACTTGAAAGTTTAAAACTCACTCCATGAGGTCTTATTAACTCTCATATGAAGGGGCCTCATTAACTGTCTTATGAACTGTCCACAGCTCCTCAGAGTATCTGTTGGCTGATACCCTGAAGCACAGACAGGCTATGCAGAAAGTGGAAGATAGTAATAAGGGTTAACTGGGAAGCACAAAAATATCTGCTTATATTATTTTGGGTTCCAATTTCTCATATTTAGTTTATTTTTGGTGGGACTTGGATTTGAACTCAGGGCCTCCCACTTGCAAAGCAAACACACTCTACTGCTTGAGCCACACCTTCTGTTCATTTCTGGTTATTTTGGAGATGGGGTCTTACAAACTATTTGCCCAGACTAGCCTCAAACCACGATCCTTCCAATTTTAGCCTCTCTAGTAGCCACCATCGCCCACTTTCATGTTTAGTTATAAAACAAATGCATCCACATTGGGGTGTGTGTCTGTGTGTATACACACGTGTGAGCAAACAGACTGGGAGTAAGAATCATGTACACTTATTTTGAAACAAAAGTTGCCATATGTTTATTAAGACATTGCCATTTACTTAAGCACAGCTTGCTCTACAAATCATCATCCATATATTATCACACATTCTGGAAAGTTTCTGAGATGTTTCATGGGCTTTTCTTGTGACTTAACTGGATCTGAGGAGAGAAAAGAAAAAATTATACACCTGGTTTATAGCTGCTGGTCATCACAAGCAACACATCAGTCCTGGCATGGTAATTTTAAGAGGCAGAAGGACCTCTCCACACAGCATTGCTCAAAGTTCTACTATCTTTAAAATCTTTTTCCTTAATTAAATTTATCCCCACTCCTAGAGTCTCATTACCATTTATGAATCTAAGACCAAATGGTCAACTGTATGAACAGGCTAACTGTAAAAGTCAGCCTCAGGATCTCCAGGTCAAAGACCCAGTCATAATGAAAAAATGTCCAATGTTTTAAATATTAGGTAGATTCATGAGCTCTGTAAAGCAGGGCAAAGCCACTCAGTGATCTGTCAAGAAGCATATATGCATTAACAAGATTTAAGCTCATACAAGCTCTATCTGTAGATTCCTATCTCTGTTAAACCTATTCTCTTTTGTGGATTCAACATGTCCAGTAATTACAATTTTGATTATAATTACTGGACAATATTAAGAGAGCTGACCTCGGGAGAACAGAGGCAGATTGTTGTGATTTGGGAGAAGAAATTCCCAAGGAAGGCTCGGGTCTGGTAACACAGCTCCTGATCTATTTCCACGCTAATACCCTAACTAAGGATGCAGCAACATAGGGCCAGAGAAACAAAGCTGGGCTAATGTGGTACCTCGGCTAAGTGACAGTAATTGTGTAACTTTAAAATCTGTAGCATTTATAAAATAGAATTTTCTTACTTCAAAGAATCTCTTTAGAAGTCTGCATAATGGTGCAACCTGAAAAAAGTAAAACACAAGCTTTGTAATTACCCACAATATTCTAAATGTGATCACAGAATGGCATTTAGAAAAATGTGTGTGGGGTGGGGGGAGCCATGTATTCACACATTCTCAGCAGGCAGTTACAGTGAGGTGCCAACTCCTTTATCTGACATTCTGGAGGATCCTAATGCTTCAGATTGTAGATAAAACCATTAGGCTTACTCCAAAGCATCAAATTGGGATCTACAAAATACCTAATCAGACCCACCCCATAGATACATTGTCAACCCAGCTCACTTACTAGTACAGTTGGAGCAGTTTCATTCTAGAGAGCAATGCTCTGATGAAAAATCTAACGACTTCTGGTACTTACTTAGAGAAAAGAAAATTTCTGTTCTAAAACACCAATGTAGGGGAAGAAGATGGAGGGGAATGGAAATGTGATGGAGGGGGTGAACTTGTTCAAGGTATACTGTACACGTGCATGGAATTATCACAATTAAATCCCCATGTATTATTAATGTATGCTAATCCAAAAATAAAATAATAAAAAGCCAAAGGCTTTTGGAGAGAATTTCTAAGTATAATAAGAATCTGCCTCTTTTTTTTTTTTTTATAAAATCTATACTGAACTAGAACTAGTCCAAAATTGATATGAAATGAGACCAATGGAATTTTCCTGGAATAACTCATTATCTTACAAAGTAGAATATTATTCCGATGTTTGCTATATTCTCTTTTCATAATTAGCTCCTCAAAACCAATTTACTTTCCTCCTTTTCTTCATCCTGCAGGCCTTCCCTAAAGCATTCAAACATAAAAATAGGATTCTATTTAGCACTTATGAACAACACAAAGAGCAAGGAGAGGAGACTGATTTAAGTTGAACATTTCCTACTGAAAGCTCTTTAGTTCCCACTGAAGACCCACCTTGTCAACTATACTTTCTAGCAATTATGCAATTAGATTGTTTGTTCATATTTTATAGCCAAGTATGTTGGGTGAAGAAAAGAAACCTGGACAGAGCACATACTTTTGGGTATCTTTGTGGTTAACATCCTTATTTACAGTTTACAACTGCAGGGAAAGAAGCACCTTTTTTGTTGTTGTTGTTTTGGTGTTTAAAACAAAAACAAAAAAACCCTCAAATCTAGTAAACAATGACTTGCCAAATCAGCAAAGGTTAATCTAAACATAAAGCACCCAAGAATGTGGCAATATTATTAAAGTGACTACCTCTCCTGAATTTGACATTCTCAAACTAAAATTTACTAGAGGAAAAAAAATTGTACAAACCATATGACATACACATTTGCATTCCTCACATGAAATTTTCTCCTTGAAAAATTTTGTGGTAGAAAAATGCACAAAGTTTGATAATGAGGATAAGTCAGGCTAAACACTCTGCAATTGTGGAATTAATAAATTGAACATAACTATAAAAGTGGGAATACCAAGTATCTCTTCACATTTCAAAAGCAGTTTATTAGGTATCTCTGACTTTTAAAGATAAATAGTACCTACCTATACATCAGGGCCTTGCCTTGCTCATTCCCCAAGGCAAAGTATCCACTTCTGGGAGAAAAATCCATGGTTTGGACACGAGAAATATTCTTCCTTTTAAGGACTGGGAAGTTAGAAAATACTGTACAGGAAGGAAGATGAACCTGCAGATCATAAAAAGCCTTAAATTACAAAAACTGGGAACTTATCTTTCTTAAATTTGAATTCTCATTCTTTCATTTTGCTGGAACATAAAGTTCATTTTGATTATAGCATACATGGAAATACTGTTCTCTGAATGCAGCAAAGTGTTTCAAAATTAAAATCTGATCTTTAATGAGCTATTAGCTGAGAAGGAAGGAAGGGAGAAGAAAGCATTTATTTATTTACACTCAGACTGGGAATGCAGGAAAATTCTAAGAACTTGTGATAAATGGCTTGGCTTCTTCAATTGTGTTTTCCTTATGTTATTAAGGTTTACATCCTCCAAGTATGCACCAACTATGAGCAGGTGACCTAAAGTCAGGGGACCAGAACACCAGGAAAAAACCATTTGCTTTCTGCCAAGATCAGAGTTGACCAACCCGACTTTTGTTCCCACCCTCTGCATCACCTTATACTTTTTTTTTTTTTTTTGGTGTTGGATTTTTTTTTTCTTTTATTATTCATATGTGCATACAAGGCTTGGGTCATTTCTCCCCCCTGCCCCCACCCCCTCCCTTACCACCCACTCCGCCCCCTCTCCCCCCCCACCCCCTCAATACCCAGCAGAAACTATTTTGCCCTTATTTCTAATTTTGTTGTAGAGAGAGTATAAGCCATAATAGGAAGGAACAAGGGTTTTTGCTGGTTGAGATAAGGATAGCTATACAGGGAGTTGACTCACATTAATTTCCTGTGCGTGTGTGTTACCTTCTAGGTTAATTCTTTTTGATCTAACCTTTTCTCTAGTTCCTGGTCCCCTTTTCCTATTGGCCTCAGTTGCTTTTAAGGTATCTGCTTTAGTTTCTCTGCATTAAGGGCAACAAATGCTAGCTAATTTTTTAGGTGTCTTACCTATCCTCACCCCTCCCTTGTGTGCTCTCACTTTTATCATGTGCTCAAAGTCCAATCCCATTGCTGTGTTTGCCCTTGATCTAATGTCCACATATGAGGGAAAACATACGATTTTTGGTCTTTTTCACCTTATACTCTTAAACTACACCTCATCTCAGATAGCCACTCATTAACTTTCCTGGAATGATTTGAAAGTGTGGGGAGCTGGTTTTCTCACTCTTCCAAGTTAAAATACACCAGAACAAAACTTTCCTCGTGAATGACTTCTTAAAGATAATTTATATTAAACTATCCTCTCAATATCCAACCTAAAAACAAAGACAGTCTCCTAATTTGGATTCATGTAATTTTATAATCTAATCAATTGCTTATTAAGAATAAAGGCAAAAATTAGAGCACAAACACAAAGCAATTTTTTAGTCTATTTCTACCAAAAGTTAGCTATACAAAATGGCACCAGAATACTGGAGTAAATAAAAGGTTTTAATGGAAATGGTATCCTCTTAGATGTGCCACCCTCATGCAACAAGAATTCTACACAGTGGCCACTAACTCATATGATAGATGAGTGTCTTTCTGACAGAGGCAAAACACCAACTTGTCAAAAACTGAGTTTTAAGTTTCATCTCCTCTGACTGACTTGGAATAAGCACATGTTCAATGTGCTCCTGAGAGACTCAATAGGATATACCTGAAAAGTTCCCTGGGGAAATTCTCCCCGCATTAATTATTATTTCCTCAGACCAGTGCTCCCTCCTGGTTAGAACTGTCGTGCTCTGACCTCTTTATGACTCCTGTATTAAAAGTTATAATGAAACTATTCATTAAGAAAGTGCCCCATAAAGACCCAACCTCATTAACTCAGAAAGTTCCCTTTATCTTTAACATCATTATCTGTCATGATAGTTGAAATTCAACAAGTAAAAGCTCATTCATCCTTGATTTATTGAATAAGAAGTTCCACAACTTCCTACTATACCCAAGATTGTAGATGTAATAATTTGACTTCTGGGTCTCCTACAGATGCAAAGGCTTAGATTTATCTTCATTGCTTTGTATTGGGATAACAAAACTGTTTGGATCATTATAAGCAATTGCATTTAATGACACCACCAGTGTTTCACTGAGGCATTCTGAAGCTGCTATGCCTGGCTTCTTTCCATTAGATGTGATGGCTGACTACTATTTAAAAAATGTGATATGGCTGATACTAATGAATTCCTTGTGTGATTTTCCCACAATAAAAAAACATAAAGGCTGTCATGATCACTGAAGCAAACTAGGCAGAACTAACTACTATGCAGATTACAGAATATATTATGTCAATAAGAGATACATTCCACGGTTTTCTAAAACAATTTACTACCATTAAAATGATAAAAGGTAGGTGAGAGCACACACGGGAGGTATGGGGAAACCCAAAATATGATAGTATTTGATGTCCTCACTGCAGAGGAACTAATACAGAAACTTTAAAGCGAGAGAGGTCAATATGAGAAGGGGATCAGGAACTAGAGAAAAGGTCAGTTAGAGATTAATCAACTTAGAATGTAACACATTTGTACATGGAAGCAATACTAGGAATCTCTCTGTATAGCTATCGTTATCTCAACTAGCAAAAACGCTTTGTCTTTTTTATTGTTTATACTCTCTCGTCAACAAAATTAGAGATAAGGGCAGAACAGATTCTGCCTGGCAGCGAGGGGGGGGGGGGGCGGAATGGCCTAAACAATGTATGCACATATGAATGAACGAATAAAGAAAAAAAAAGAAGGATAAAATGATAAAATCCCAACATATCCCACAGACAAAAGTAGTACTACTCTATGTAACATGAAGGAGCTAGCCTTCTCCTGGCCCTATTTGTCATATGAAAGTCCTGTGCAGTAGTACAACAAAGAGTATAGAATCTGGAATCACAATTCTGCCCTTTACTAACTCTTGACTTTGTGTAAGTTAATCCTCTAAAGGACTGTAACTCACTCAAAATTGTTTTGAAGAGTTCTTTGTAAATTTTTGTAAACTGAACACTATTACACCAGTTCATACCTGAGGATATATGCAAGGCTTTTGTTGATTAAGCAACATAAAACTAACTTTATATACACAAAGTAGCAAGATACAATAGCACTATTCAAAGTTCTATACCTACTGTACACCTGGTACCCAGAGCAAGTCATTGTTGAATGAAGAAACTGGTCTGTCTGATGAGTAAGAAAACTCAGAGAGATGGGGGTGACATTTAAGTTGAATTCTGAGGTTAGGCTGAAAAGAGTTAATGTGGGCCCAATACTTGCATCCTTACCAAGGCATCCTTGCAAGGGTCCTTTGGATGGTGTCTATGTACTTAACTGGTAAGCAGTCTCCTACACTGCTATGCAATGGGTGACTTACCATTTGTACAAGTAACATGATTTATGCTGAATATCTGGCTTTAATTCTAGAAAGATAGAATTTTGGTACATGCTAGGCAGAGACAGGGCACACAGATGAAGCCCTGATAAAAATCCTGGGCACTGAGTCCCTAATGAGCCTCGCAAGTAGAAAACAGTCAGCATGTGTGGTCACACCTCACTGCTGTAGGAATTAAATATATTACTATGTGACTCTACTAGAAGAGGACTCTTGGCAGGTTGAGCCTAGTATCACCTGGACTTTGCCCACATGCCTGTCCCCTTTGCCAATTTTGCTTTGTATTCTTTGGCTGTAATAAATTTTAGGCATGAATATGATCATATGCCAAGTCCTATGAGTCTTTCCAGTAAATCACCACATGTGACACAGGCATTTTAGCTATCTGAATTGCAGTATTTTTAGAGACTTATTTTAAAGTTTATTTTCAAAATCTAAGAATTGCCTCCACTCCATTAAAACAACAGGCCTTAAAAAGTAGGTTAAGGAGTTGGGTGCTGGTGGCTCACACCTGTAATCTTAGCTACTCAGCAGGCAGAGATCAGGACGATCATGGTTCAAAGCCAGCCTGGGCAAATAGCTTGCAAGACCCTATCTCAAAAAAAAAACTATTACAAAAAAAGGGCTGGTAGAGTGGCTCAAGGTGTAAGCCCTGAGTTCAAGCCCCAAAACCTCAAAAAAAAAACAGTAGGTTAAGGAAAGAAAACTGCAGATGAATGAAGTGTTTGCCTTAAGTATGTTCCTTAGTTTACATGCTGAAAGAAATCTCTGATAATGAGAACTACCTCTTGAGAAATGCTGAGAATGGATAGTTTAGCTTTCCCCAAAAGAACTGAAATTTAGTGGCTACTATGCATTATTTCAACAACTATATTCAAAAGCTACTATACTAATAATTTCTACAAAGGAAGATGATTAAGACTAAAAGGAGTAACTTTTAAAAATTCACCACTCTACTTTCCTGTTGCCATTTCATGTTTCCAACTTAATTTTTAAAGTTAACAATTATAAAGGAAAAGTCAAAGGACTATTACCAGTCTGATGGCTTCTTTCATTTTTCTTGAAGCTATTGCCAAGATTTCTGTAGTGGGATTGAAAGTCAGAGCAGTAGCACCCGTAACCAGGTTCATCACAGCTTTTATCGGCTTTGGGTTTGTTTCTTGGAGACAAGAATCTTGATTGTATATATTTACCACTCCAGAATTAGAACTGCAAAGAAAAAAGGAAATAGATTTTAAAGCAAGTGAAAGGCTTTCACAACCTAAGTAAACACAGATTCCAACCCACAATCTGGTTATCTGCAGGAACAGCATAGTAAAAGAGCCCAGCAACTTGAGAGTTCAGAGGAAGACAAAAGTTAGACACAGTCTATCAGTTCTACTTCAGTCTTTCTAAACTCTTGATAACTCAGTTTTTTCAATTGTATGTCTAGCTAAAAAAAAATCCAGGAACACATAGAATCTCCATTAATCATTCCTTTAATAAGTATTTGTCAGATGTCAACTCCTCACCAGGTACTATTTTAAGTGCTTGGGATACAATGATAAATGAAACAGACCAAGACTACTACTCTGAGTGCATACTCCCTAACATTCTAAAGAGTCAAAGATAACTGCCCTCTCCCCACTGATAGCTCCTCCTTTCTTTTTTAATTCTATTTGTGGGAACTTTAAAAACAGTGGAGAACAACAGCAGTAAAAGCGGGCACCTTAGTTTGCTTTACAGTCAATATTTACAGTCAATAGTTATGGCAGTTAATCCTCCACTTCAAGTTTACTTAAAATGTTTATTAGCAATGAATTATAACCAATACTCTTAAAAAGTAAATCCTAATGACCAAATAATGTTAATATCATTCATAGATAAGAACTAAGTAAACATTTTTAATCTCAATGATCAATGGGCATCAAGAATAAGGTACACAATTCACATAGTTAATTCTAAATAGTTTTAGTCCATATCTGCTACTACAACAAAACACCTGCCTGAGGCTGGGTAATTTATATACAATAGAAATTTATTTCTCACAGTTTGGGAAACAGAAAGGTCCAAGATCAAGACACTGGCAGGTTCAGTGTCTAGTGAGGGTTGCTCTGTTCTTCCAAGATGGAGCCTTATTGCTGTGTCCTCCCAAAAATCAGACACTGTGACCTCATTTGCCAGAAAGAACTGAACCCAATCTCTCAAGCTCTTTTATAAGGGCCCTAATCCTACCCATGAGGCTTTGCCCTCATAACTCAATCACCTCTTAAAAGATTCCTCTCCCAATACTATCACCTTAGAAATTAAGTTTCAAAATATGAATTGTGGGGGACACATTCAGACCACAGCACACTTAATCTATAATACAGTATAAACCTGAAAGATATAAGAAACCTCAACCTCACAAGAGTAACAAACATACATTCTACTAAGTATACTCTCATTCCTATCACTGAAACATCCTCATTATTCAATGAGGATGAATACTGATTGCTAATTATAGTCAGGAACAATGCATAAAAGAAGATAAGTTCAAAACACATGAAATATTCCATAGCTTGATATTACAATCAACACACAAGTATGTTAGAATTATTTAGTGCTTTAAAGTCTTCCAACTACTTACATATACATTTTTTCATTTGATTCAAGTAATTCCTTAATTTAAACAGAGTTAACAACGGAGTCCATATGAACTACTCAGGAGAAATAATATATATTCTTTGTTTATGTAACTGTTCCCCAAAATTCTTAGGTTGAAACCCTAATCCCCAATGTGATGGTATTAGGAAGTGGAGTCTGTGGGAAGTAATTAGGTAAGAGTGAACCCTCATGAAAGGGATTAGTAGCCTTACAAAACAGACCCCAGAAACTCTTTCACTCATTTCACCATGAATAAAGAAAGAAATCAATCATTTGCAACCTGGAAGAGGACTCTCACCAGAACCCAACCACAATGTCACCCTAACCTGACTCCCAGCCCTCAGGACTGTTAGAAATAAATTTGTTTATAAGCCACCAAAGAACTCTATGGTACTTTATTACAACAACCCAAATAAACTAGGACAACATCTTAGTTTTTTCCTTAGTTCATCCTTTTGCTTACTTATATTTTAGATTTAGATTAAAATATTCACTATACTTGTTTTATACTAAATCCCTTTTCTTACTGAAAGTGGATTCATGACTAAATTTATTTTAATTAAGAAAAGTTATAATCCATATGGCTCTTCTAAATACTAATTTTAGATCAAATCTTACATCTTTCTGAACATCAGGGACTCTTTTAAATAGTGCCTAGCAATTCTTATTTAACTACTGCTTAATTTTGCAGATAAAAATAGCATACATTCATTATTTAAATATATATAATTTCTTTTCTTTGACGGTACTGGGGTTTGAACTCAGCAGCACATGCTTGCTAGGCTATCTTATTCTTATAGCTGGATTTGTGAAAAAAGAATTGATTTTAATATGCTACTACTAAGAATGGTTAGTAAATATTTACTGAAATGATATCCATATGTCCAGAAGTATGCAAAGTGTCACAGGAATACAGAGTATAAGAAGGACTTTATTCCAGAAAAAAAAATGTATCTGTATAAAATAGCCAGAGATACAACAGAATATAAACAGCATTAAGTCTACCTGAGATCTACAACCTCAAAGAAGGGGAGCATCATTATGAGGTGAAGTTGCTCCAAATGAGCTTTGTGGAAGAGGTGGGACTGAAGCTGGGGAAGATAGAAATTAGGTGAAAAAAAAGCAGGTAATGAGAAGAGCAGGAACACAGGGAGAAACAGGCATGCTTACTTAGTAGCTTACCCTGAACTCCTAACTGAAGGAACGACATAAATATTACTCCCCCACCCCGACTGCAAATTACCTCCACCAGAAATGAGCACTTAAACCAAGGGCAGTCAATCCATTAGTAGATCACAACCACGAGAGAACTGGCACACAAAGCTCTTCCCAAACAGGAGAGATGGCAATTAGTCAAATCAATGTCTCTTATGAACTAGGGTACGAACCACTACCATGGGGTGATGTTGGTTAGAGTTGAGGCTGAAGAGACTTACAGAAAGGGGTCATGGAGGCCACAAACTAATATTATGAACAAGAAAAAACTACAAGGTTAGAAGAATGGATTAATTAGACAATTCTGGTCTTTGGGGGAACTTGGCAATAACTGGCAATACCGGTCTTTAGGGGAAACTGAGACATTGTGATGTCATACTGGGGACTGGGAGGGTGATGGTGTGCTGCCGACACAGGGAAGCAGCTACACATCCCTGCAAGACCCACAACAAAGTATTATCTAGTCCAGATTATCAACAGTACCAAGGTTGAAAAACCTTAACACAGAAAAAAAAAATGCACATAAGTGATGGTTCCAAAGTTTTACAGTGCCTAAGAATCCACTAGTGTATTAAATAGCAAATTCCTAGGCTTCATGTGCCTATTCTCCTGTACCAACACTGATTCACAGAGCTGGAGTTTATAACCACTATTTTGGGTATTCTGATGCTGGAGGGAGTTTAAGTACCACATTTAGAGAAGTACTTGAAGGTAAAGCATACTGATAAGGACAAGAGTATATAAAAGTAGAAAACAAGAGACACTATAGTACCATACCAACAGAACAAAACTACTGCTGGGGGACTCAGCAAGTTCAAACCCTAGGGCTGCTTGAATTCTTCCAATACTTGAACTCTACTCCAACCTTTGTGTGACCTTCTATAGAGCTGTTTGCTTCTCCTTTGTAGCATGTGAAGGTGGCTGCAAATTAAAAGAGTTTAAGACACAGAGCTGGAGGTAAAGCTCAGTGGAAGAGTGCTTGCCTAGCATGTAGAAGGGCCTAGGTTAGATCCCTGCATGACAAAACAACAAGAGTTTAAGACACAAAGCTGGCACAATATTACATGTAATTGATAAAATGTTCAGAATAGAAAAGGTAACTATCTATCATACCAAGAACCAGAAAATTCATAACCTGAATGAGAAAAGATAACCAACTAATAACACCAAGATGAGTCAATTGTTTGAATTATTGAATTATAAGAATTCCAAGCGGGAGACTAGTGAAGTAGCTCAAGCAGTAAGAACGCCTGCCTAAACAAGTATGAGGCTTTGAGTTCAAAACCCTAGTGCTGCCAAAAACAAGAGAATTTCAAGCCAGGCACAGTGTCTATATTCTTAGCTACAGAGGAAAAATGATGAACCAATCTGTTACCAAAAAAAAAGTTTAAGACACAGCCAGAGCCACAGATGCCCTTCAGAACTTCAACCAAAGAAGCTAAAAAAACTCAAATTCCTAAGACTGAACTCTAGCAATTCCTTTCTCAACTCACTCTCTCTAATGCCCGCAAGGTTCCTAGTGTCTTACTCATCTGTTAACTCCTGTGAACTACCTATCACCAATCATATTAAAACACTGTCTGTAGACTTAGCTTTGCACTGCCATTTTAACTGCCTGTGAGTACAGGTACATAAATGTGCACTCCACCTTCATTTAATGATAATTTCACTCTTCAAGTTGCTCAGGTCTGGAACTGGAAAATGTGACTGCTTCTCACTCCCTACCTTCTAAACAGTTGAAACACATTATAAACATGGTTTCCCTATTCCCATCTTCACTGCCCTTCTGATTACCTTATTCCCTGATGCCTGCCCTATTACTGCAGTGACCTCAAAGGTTACTTCCTACCCTTTTTCTCTTCTAAAATCTAACAGGAGGATTATCTTCCCTAAAATTCAGATATCATTACAATTCTCCTTTGCTTAAAAAAACTTCATGGTGACAGCCTTGAGGAGAAAGGAGCAAAATCACAGATTACAAGTTTCCTCCATGTGACTCTGTGAATGAGAAGGGTCAGGGTAACAAAGAAGACAATATTCTAAGGAGAGGAAGAGCTTTAGGAATCAAGAAAGAAGTGAAAGGTCAGCTAAAAGCACAGAGAAACAGAAAAGCAATGCAGAGAAAGTAGGAAGCAGTCCACAGCTTCAAACCCAAGTTCCCAAGGGAGAAGGGAACCAGAAACCACACCACAAGGTAAGCCAGGCAGTCACTGTGACAACAGACTGGCAATCTTGACTGCAAAAGAAACCCACGATTCTTGCAAGGCTTAAATCCAGTGTGGCAATTTTGTATGCGAGTGACTCTTCCTGCATGGCAGGCCAGCACTAGAGGAGAAATCCACTTCATCGCTCCCCATATCTCAGAGCACTATAGTTTGCACCATCTCAAAAGGGGCCTAATGTGTGAGAATGAGCTACTCTGGGGATCCGAAAACAAGGAACAATCAATCACAAGTCAGGAAGGCTAGCGATATCTTGCCAGTGTCTGGGTGGGAGATAGCCACCAAGAGGCAGTCGTGGAGAGGGGGAGAATTAGATGCAGAAATGATGAGAAGTTTAAGCAGCAGGGAGCTCCAGCTGTGAAGGGTGCTGGTGATGGGTGCCCTCCCCTCACACCCCACCCTGCAATGAAGAGTAGGTCCCACCTGTGGAATACTACAGAAAATGAGCACTCTAAAGCCTGTGGCTGGTGGATCACTCAGCCTCTGGAACTGCCTCTCTGCCCCAGCATGTGGTTTGCAGCCAAGCAGGACTAAGTGCTCTGAGCCCAGGGCCAGCAGATCACTCAGTCTCTGCTGCTTCTTCCCTCCAACAGGGAGCTTAAGGCAATATTTTTTAAGTGTCTACAAAACTAACCGATGCTATTTCCTAAGAACATGTTTTTGGCTTATGCCACCTAACCACATAAAGGGAAAAATGCTATTAATTATCTTTAAAACTTAAACCCAAAGCTGACTTACTCTACCTTCTCATCAATGGCAAGGTTGAAAACAGTAAGAGAATTTGATGAGATCAAATGGGCGTTTTAAATATAGGGAGATATATATTGATTTAAGGTAATCCACTATTTCCTTTGCTAAAGATCTGATAACCAGCCATTAATATTATTAGATGGTGCACCTAGACAATGGAAAACTAAAGGCTGTCCTGGATCTATCAGTTTAATATCACTGAGCTGTTTATGAAGAGAACTACTCCTGCACCATCTAATATATTTATTCCTAAACATTTTATTAGCATAATGTGGTTCAGCTTTCCTGAGCCTCGTTACTCACCCACAAGCCATGTACTGTCCATTCCTTGAAGTGGCAATGCTTAATCCACATAAACTCCCTTCATCAACAAATCTGTTAAGGCACTTCCTAGAGTTCACATCCCACACGTAAACTTCCCCATCCCCTGAAAGAAAGATCCAAAGAACAGTTTGGTTAATTCTGCTTTAAAGTTGAAAGGCAAATGAACTATTTTATACATGAATTATAAAACTAAACTTGATATTCTTACTAAAATGAGAAAGTTAAAAATCAAGCAGTTTTTGGTTAAAACTGAAACATAAAACATCCAAAGCTTCTCATCTCATTAACTTACCAGAGGAGGTGTATATTTTCTTACTATCTGAAGAGAATGTGCATGCTGCAATCCTTCCATTAATCTTCATGCTGCCAATAAGTTCTTTGGTCTAAAAAGAATAAATATTATTTACGAATTGTTAGGAGACCATTCTTTATTTTCTAGAACCTAAGTTTTACCCCAACTTCCCACAACTTTTCCTTAAATCCCTCCTGTGCATCCCTCTTAAGATGCAGATTTAAGGATGCAATGAGTTAAGGTTTGAGATTATCCTTAACCCTAACCCTAATCTCTAATCCAAGAACAGGCAACAATTAAAAATGCTTTACCTTCATTGAAAGCAAATGAGAATATCCAGCAATGCCATTTATAAGCAGGAAGGATCCATCTGGGGAGACCTCAAAGCGCCTCACTATTTTCTCTTTCAAACCTAAAAAAAGAAGATGAACTGACTCAATAACATTAAATATGGGTTTCAACAAAGCTGTCTTCTACTGACAATTGAGTTTTTTACTCTAAAATATCTCAGTGCCCCAAGTAAGCAAAACACAGGCTCAGAATCTGAGTAAGTCAGATATCATCCATCATAAGGATTCAAAACGAAAGATCTCTACAAAGTGCCTGGCAAACTTCTCTTTATTTTGGTTAGCACTCACCATTTTAATTGCAGGCCACAGATACAACTCTCTTAAACAGTAAACATATTAACTAGTTTTCCAAATAGAAGAAGTTAACACAATTTAATTAACTAAAAGGATAAACTGTACCTCTGTCACAAAGTTTACTACCAGAAGGGAAATACACTGCAATTAGAAACAGCCAAAAGCACACATATATAAACTATTTGCTGACCACTACCTACTAACTATCCTGCGATGAATAGGAGGATAAGCTTTAATTCAGTGGGTGCAAAAAGAAATTCACAACTTGTCAGCATATTCAAGAACTGATTAGCTTCTCAAGGCCAAGCATGGGAAGCTCATGCCTGTAATCCCAGCTACTTGGTAGGCAACGATCAAAGGGACAGAAGTTCAAGGCCAGCCCAGGCAAGTACTGAGACCCCATCTCAAACAGCAAGCCAGTCTTGGTGGTGCATTCTTGTGATCCCAGCTACACAGGAGGTATAGATAGGAGAATCACAGTCTAAGGCTGACCCCAGACAAAAAACTTGAGAACCTACCTGAAAAATAACTAAAGCAAAAAAGAGTTAGGGCATGGCTCAAGTGGTAGAGTGCCTGCAAGCTTAAGGTCCTGAGTTCAAACTATGACACCACAAAAATAAATAGACAAATAAATAAATAAATAAATAAAGCAAACACAATAACCTGATTAGCTTCTCAAAATGGGACTCATGTAACATATCACATGAACTAGGTATATAAACCAGTTAACATTTACATTTATTTACAAAGGGACATGTCCAGCTGGGTATGGTGGTGCATACCTGTAATCTCAGCACTTGGAAGAGTAAGACTGGAGGATTGCAAGTTTAAGCTACATAGCAATACCCTATCTCAAAATATGCCTGAGGTGTTAACACTGACTCTATCAGTATGCTGAAAACCAAGTTACTCACCAAAAAGTTGCCCAATGGAAAAAAATAAATTAAAATGAGTACAACTGGCTGTCTCCAGGGAAGAGAAGGAAAAGCAACTTTTCACTAGCCACCCATTTTTACATATTAAATTTTTATACCAAGTGAATGTATTTACTAGTCAAAAAATACATTCTTTTAAATTTAGGTTTCTAAGTAAAAACACTGATTAGAAAAAAAGGACTTAGAAAAATGTGGAGAAATACCCTTGTCCCCCAAATGGAAAATGCTGGTTAAGGGTCCTTTAGACCATCTTGAACCACAGGTCAATAACTGGACAGGTTAAGGGAATGCACCATTTGCATCAATTCTGTGGTTTTCATTTTCAGACCAGATTTATGACAACCAAAAGTATGCATGTGTATACAAGGTATGTATATCCTAACTAGTCAGCAATTTTTTCCCCTTTGTCTAATATTGTTAATTTAATTTCTTGAATTTATAGCTTTACAGAAATGGGGGTGCAACTCAGTGGTAAAGCACTTGCCTGGTATGCATGAGGTCCTGGGTTCAATCTTTAGCACCACAAAAACAAAAAGTTTTTTTTGTTTGTATGTTTGGTTTTTTTGTGGTACTGGGGTTTAAACTCAGGACCTCATGCTTGCTAGGCAGGCACTCTTACTGCTTGAGCCATTCTGCCGGCCCCCGAGTAAAGAAAAAAGGATAGCAGAGTTGCGTATGTTTTGTTTTTCACACAGGGTTTGCTAATCAGTCCAGGCTGGCCTCAAACTCACAATCTCCTGGCTCAGCCTTCCCAAATGCTGGGATTACAGGCATCTGCCACCAAGCCCAGCAATAGTACAGTTTGATAATGATGAAGATTGAGAATAGTGCCCCATAACTTACCACTATAAAAAAGAAATGAACTTAATTTATCATTTATCATTACTTCTATTATCATTATATTCAAGTTAATACTTATTGAGAAGAGAAGAAAAGGAAGTATCAAGAAGAAAAGATGAATGCCAAGTCTCAAAAGCAGCAGGTAACTAGATACACACTTAAGCATGCCTAACATCCAGAGTAATGATCACTAACTGTACTTAGCCAACCCCTGACGTACTTTTAACCCGCAAGGATGCAAGGCAAGAAGGGACCAAAGTCCATTCCTTTTGATTATAAAATGTTGTATAAAAAAAATTACTACATATTGTGATCTGTTTTAATGTGAGAGTTAAGGCTTTTCAACAAAGTCTGGTTCACTGGCTGGCACCACCACCACCTAAAAGCTGCAGAAAACGCAGAATCAGACCCACCTCAGACCTAGAGAATTAGGGTTACTCCCTCGCAATTCACATGCACATAACTTCTGAGAAGCCCTCCTGGCTTAAAGCACAATTAGATAAACCAAGGACTTACTTGAAAAGGACCATTACAGGTGTCAGAGAACACAGGAAAGAGAACAGTACAAATAGTGAGATAGAAATGTAGATGTTCCTAAGGTTGGCCTCACTGTCATGCATAAGCAAGAGTACGGCTGTGAAGAGTTACTGTTATCGTCTTACAACCACAGGCATGCAGTCTAACAGGGACACTGCTAGTGGGCTGTGGCCTGGGCCAACACTTCTTCCCAAGATTATGTTAACCCAACCAACCTCATTACAATGACATTGGTCCCAAAAGTCACAAGCATGTCACTACATTCTGTGGTAGCATGGGTAGGAGAATATAAACAGATAAGGTAAAAAGTAAATAAATCCTCATCTGAGGAACAATTTTTTTTTACATAGTTTATTCTTTAAAAATATTTCTTCAGTAATTCCAAAAGTAGTACCTTCTTTCAAGTATAAAATCAAGATTAGAATAAACACTAAAATTAGAGGGTGTCCAAATTTTTTATCTATCAGAGAGGTGAAACAAAGGAACCTAGGTCTTCTAGTTCCCTGGCTCATGCTTTCTGCTGCCTCAAGTGCTAACTCTACACTCAAATGTCTACAACTGCTTCTCTGGTTTAGGGTGATATATAGATTGACAAATTATGATCTTTCTGTAAGTGCTCAATAAAAAGTCCGTTCACTAACTTCATTTAAATATATTATCTCGATACAATGATATTTTCCAAATACTATAACTAAACAACTTTTAAGATTCCTCTAGGGTGAAAAAAATGGTTGTAAATAACAGCTTGGGGAGGGCAGTGACAGGCTGTGTGTTCATTATCTTACCTCTCACTTGATGCACAGGAATTAACTTTCCAGCTAGCATATCATAGACATAAAGAACCTTGCTGTGAATACTTGTGGCTAAAACCTCTTCTCCATTAGCAGTAAAACAAGCCTTATAGATTGGAAACCTGTCCAAATAGATGCTCTGGATTTTAGGATTTGTTTTGCCATCAACCTATAAGAAAGTACAAAATGTTTCTTCTTGTTATTTACACAGAGTCTGTATTCTGGTAGTAAACACTTTTCACTACAAGCCTTCACTTAAAAATGCATACCTAAGAGCCAGGTGCTGATGGCTCAATGCCTGTAATCCTATTTGGAGACTGGAATCAGGAGGATTATGGCTCCATGCCAGCCGGACAAAAAAATTCACAAGACCCTATCTCAAGCAATAGCTGGGTGTGGTGGCATGTGCCTGTCATCCCAAGCTACATGGGAGGCTGAGATTAGGAGGATTGTGGACCCTCCCCCCACAAAAAAAAGTTTGCAAGACCTCATCTCAACAGAAAAAGCTGGGCCTCTGATCCCAGCAATGGTGGGAAATGTTAAATAATAGAAAGATCATGGTTCAGGCTGGCCTAGGCAAAAAGCAAGACTCTGTCTCCAAATGAATCAAAGCAAAAAGGGCTGGAGGCTTGGTTCAAGCAATAGAGCACCTGCCTTGTAAACACGAAGCCCTGAGTTCAAACCTCAGCACTGTCAAATAAAAATGCATACCTGAAACAGTGAAATAGCATTATCTAACCCAGCGACCATCACCACCTGTGCACAAGGATGGAATCGCACTGATGAGATTCGAGCAGTGGTAGGCCGTTCAGCATTAGCATGCTGGCAATTCTTCATCTGTGGAAAATAAAGATGGAATTTTATCAACTCAAATCACTTAAGATTGTGAAGAAAAAAACATTATGGTGTATAATGGAGAAGAACTGGAATGGTAAGCAAAAGACCACAGCTCTGTCATCAACTAGCAAGTCACTTCATGCTACACAACAATCCAATTTTACCTTCTCAAATGAAGGGATTAGTAATCATTATGGTCCTTCTGTTAAGGTCTGAATATGAAATGTCCCCCACAGACTCTTGTGTTGAAGACTGGGTCCCCAGCTGGGGCTATTTTGGGAGGTGCTGGAAACATTAGGAGGTAGGGTCTAGCTGATAGAAATAGGTCGCTGGGGGGGGGGGTTGTCCTTAACCATGGACTGAAACCGTGGGCAAAAATAATTTTTTCCTTTTTTAAGTTATTCTGCCAAGTATTTCGTCACAGTAATGAAAAGGTTAACACACCTTTCTACATCTAGAAGTCAAACTTATTAAGCACTCTAAGAGCACTTGTGTACAGTCATTTCCCCAAGATACATCCACTTGGATTAGGAGACTTTCATTCCTAGACTTTTCACTTTGGCATCTCTTAACTGATTGCATAAGGCCAAGAGACACTATGCAGCTGTCCCCACAGCTCTGTTTGGCAGGATTGCTTGTGTTCTTCTCTTGGGTATGGGTTTGCTAGTCTAAAATGATGGCAATCTCATGCATCACTTGGACTATTTTTCAGCTATTTCTTTTTGTTTTTACAGGATTTCCCCCTGCATTAAAAATTTAATTAAGACCAAAACAAGCATGTTTTGGGATGGCACCATAACACCCTATTTTCAGTGGAGGTGAATTTAGCCTATGAGCAGCTGAATGAACTGTCCTAAGGTATGTTGGAGGGGGGTAGGGGAAGAGGAAGGATCACTCTGCCTCCTGGTAATTTACCATAATAGTTCCCCTGCCCCACTTAAAATGTCCATTTTATAGCTGGGAAAACGTTTATGTGTCCTAAAGAGACCTGTGAACTTAACAGATATTTAACTGAAGCACAATGCAGGAAACTGGTTACCACAATGAACCAGCTAGACAGTGATGAGTTAGAAAGTAAACAGCATAGGCCATTTTAGATAAGTCTTTTCTAAAGTACCATATGAGCAGAAAAACAATACTGAGATGGCCACTATCAGTTCTTAAAGAATAGAGGGGCAGAAGGAAGAGCAAGGACAAAGGTTCAGAGGCAAGAAAGGACCCAGCATGTTTAACAAAAAACCTTGTGTAGTAAAGCAGGAAACAAGGGAAAAGAGGTCTGAGATGAAGCTGAGGATGTGGGTAGAAGCCCGAACATGCAGGGCAATACAGGCTTTAGAAGGTTTCAAAAGGCAATGAAAAGTGATAATGACCTGACACTTTTAATTTTAAAAGCTCCCTTGGGCTACTGCATGATGATTTAGGAAGAGGTAAAGCGAAAGTGGAGAAACCAAAGCCACTGAAATAAGCTAGATAAAAAGGCAGCAGCACAGGCAAGACTGCTATCAAAAGGATAAATCAAAAGGAGAAATCAAATTGCTTGCTATCTCCTAGAATTCCTAGGAATATAATTTCATGCCTCTTGATTATTTTTGCAAAAGGAGAGAAAAAAAAAAAAGCCTAACAAATATTTAGTAAGGCACAGTGTCAGCAAGCACATTTAATCCCACACATAATAAGAATCCATACTTCTGGATTTCAGTGGTAAGAAACTGGTAAGTGCCAACTTCAAAGACTCTCACCTTCAAGATTCCTCTTGGAAGAGAAGTTGATGTTGATATGAAATTCCCAGTCCTTTGTAACAAATCATCTTCGTCCTCTTCACTTTCATCTAAGTCAAAGAAACCCACAAGGCTAATCTTTAGAATCAAGATGGCTCATTACCTATCCTAAACTTCTCTAGTTCTTGCTGCAACTCCTCTCTGGTCTCTCAACCTGAATCACTGTTTTAAAGCTGCAATTTGCTATTTTAAAATAGCAAAACACATTTAAAAGAAAGACAAAGATGACATGGCATTTTAACATACACAGTTAAAATCAAAGCTTGACTCTGGAATAAAGAGTAACACAAATGGTGTGTAAAGATGAAGTAAAATAAAAGTTTAAAGCCAGCATTTGATTTAAAAAGAGCAACTCAGAATATGACAAAATTAGCAACAGGATAGACAGCAGAACTAGCTTAACAACACACATGACAAGGAATGTGGGCTAGAGGCATGGTTCAAACCCCAGTACCAAAACAACGCAACAACAAAAACAAGTTCAGTTGCCTGAAAAACCACTGTCAACAAACTGTTAAAACTTCAAAGAGAGCTAACAGACCTTCTTTTCTCGTAGACATGACTGATGATTCTAGTAGAAAGCAGCTGAGAAGCTATGCAGACTTTTTAAAACATTCATGGGGCTAGCACTATAAAACCCTCTTAGCCTGTCAAAGGGATCTAGCAAACCCCCAGGTTTGTACTGGGGCCCCAAAAGGCTATACATAGGAATTAGGGTGAAGTAAGTTAGAAGAAAATAAATCTTCCAAGAATTAAAACCCAGCTTTTAATCATAACTCTTCTCTGGAATTGCTTCACAACTCTTCTCTGCTTAGCTCCCTACCCAGGAACTACAAACCATTACCTTAGATCTGAATAATCCCTATTACTTTTCATATATAATGTCCAGCACTCAATGAAACATAAGCAGACCAATACTGATGAAATAAGATAACCTGACTGGGGCTGGAGAGCATGTTTCAAGTGGCAGAGCACCTGCCTACCAAGTGTAAAAACCCTGATTTCAAACCTCAGTACCACCACTAAAAAAATAGGAAAAATAGATAACCCCCACAACTCCATGATGGGATCTAGATAATGGAGAGTTATCAGACACAAACTTTCTTTTTTGGGGGAAGGGAGTTTGAAACAGGGTCTCACTATGTAGTATATAGTATCCTCAAAGTCAACATCCTCCTACGTGCTGGGATTACAGCCATGTTCCACCACACCCAACTATCAGACATAAACTTCAAAAATCTTTGTTTATTTGACAAAATAACGGGCTAAATTTCCAAAACTTAAAAACCTCACCATGTCAAATTCAAAAGCACGATGAAGCACAAGCAGAATCTAAAGCATGCTAAAATGACTGAAGAGTAGGGTTAAGTTAAAACATTCAGACAGCAAAACAACAAATCAATCCAAGAAGTTACTGCTGGCTTTAGAGGTATATGATGTTAGTTTTGTGCCTATGTTTAAAGGTAGTACTTCTCTTTATAACAAACTTAATGAAGTATTTACAGATAAAAGCATGTTAGAGATAACTGTGAAGCAGAGATCTCACTACCACTCTTCCAGTAAGTATACCATAGGCAAGTTACTTACCTACTTGAACATCTCTCTTATGTAAAATTGTCTATAGACTAGTATATACCAGGTGGTGGCAGACTACCTAATTGTTGAATTGCAAATATCCTTTGTCTCCTAGGCACAAAGCTGAACTATACTTCCTGACCTCCCTTACTGTTAGTGTGGCCTCAAGATTAAGTTCTGGCCAATAAAGTATGGGCATGAGTATCATATACTACTTCTAGGTTAGGCCAATAAAAATTCCTTTGGGTGGGTATCTGTTTCTTCTCCTACAAACCAACTGATTTCAGTACCTTGGACAACTTTGAAAGACCCAACCCAAAGATGGCAGATCCTCTGTCAACTTGGGTTCCTGAAGTACACAATCACCTTCTCACTAGCCTAATTTTATGTGTAAAAGGAAGTAACTCCTACCATATTAAGCCACTGGGAGTTGGGAGGTTTTCTGTTTCAACAGACAACATAACCTTATCCTATAATTTCATGGACCTAAATATTGTGGGGTTCTTAAAATACAGTATTCTAAATGAATAATAAAATTGTATTTCATACAAGAGGTCAGATCCAGAAATATGTATTATAAAAAAATGATTAAAACATGGCTGGAAGTGTGGCTCAAGTGGTAGTGTGCCTGCCTCACAAGTGTGAGACCCTGAGTTCAAATCCCAGTACCATCAAACAAAAATTTTTTTTTGTTAAAGGAACAGGAATGTTTAGCTAAAAAAAATAAATAAATAAAAATAAACTCAGGGCTGGGAATATAGCTAAATGGTAGAGTGCTTGCCTAACATGTGCAAGGCCCTGGATTTGATTCTCAACACCACAGAAAAACTACCTTGGGAAGAGATTTCCCAAATAAAAGAAGAGTTTTACATGAAATAGAGACAAGATAACCTATATGTGTTCCAAAAGTGCTAACAGAGAGTTGTTGGGAAATAAACTTCCAAAAGAAAAGGGAGAGGAACAAAATGGTCTAGCAAAAAGTACAACATTTGATATATTTAAGCAGAGGATAAACTGAAGATGATTCTCACAATGGCTAGTCAGGCAATATCATGCAGATTTCTTCACTCTCTACATCTGATTGGAAACAAGGTCAATTTCTACCTAATAAAAGACCAAGTTTGCTGGAGGAATGGCTCAAGGGGCAAAGTGCCTGCCTAGCAAGTGTGAGGCCCTGAGTTCAAACCCCAGTACCACAAAAAAAAAAAAAAAGACTGAGCTATCTAAGAATTATTTAAACACTGGCTCCCTGTATGGGCTCACTGTACTTAAGGACCATAAGGGCTGACAGGGGTAGGGAGAAGGGAAGCAGAGGTAGCAGTAATCAAACAGAAGCTTATCAGATATCAAACATGCTAAGGAAGAAGCCCCTATACTATGTGGGAAGATAACTCTAGACTCTCTAAAGGATTTAAAAAATTAATTCTAAGTCTACTACTTACTTATAACTCCCAGCACACAAATCAGATATTGGCTAAGACATCTATATTTATAACACCTAAACTCAAAAGGATCTAAAAACCAGAAAACAGTAATGACACAAGCCAAACTTAGTCATAAACTAACCACCTGAGCCTAACCTGACAGTGTGCTCCATAGAAAGACATCCCATTTCTGAGCAAACAGCTAGATTAGCTGCTTCAGAGAGGGCTCTGAACCAAGAAGTAATTTGCTTATTTTTCCTTAATCCTATGCCAATAACGCAATTTTGTTGAGAAAGAAACAAAATTCATCTACTCTTTGCCTTATAGTATAGAATCTGTTACAAATTGGGTAGACCTTATCTAAAATGCTTTGGACCAGAAGTGTTTTGGATTATAGATTTCAGATTATAGATTTTGGAATATTTGCATATACATAAAGAGGTATCATGGGGATGGGTCCCAAATCTAAACCTGACATTCATTTATGTTTTATATACATGTAATTTTATACAATTTTTAATAATTTTTATGCATGAACTAAGCTTCCAGAAAGCAGAATTTTCTACTTCATGGTGTCATGTTGATGCTCAAAAGTTTCAGATTATGGAGGCTGTCAAATGTCAGATTAGGGACACTCTACCTGTATTAAAGAGACTTCATACTATTATTTAAAAAAAAAAAAAAAACAGCTTACCTCAGACACAGTAGGTTTCAAAAACTAAACATTAAATAGGACCAAAAAAAAAAAAAAAAAAAGACCTAAAACACTAGGCTTTTAGAAGCCTAAGAAAGAAAAAAAAGCCAAGTGCATGTGGCTCACACCTGTAATCCTAGGTATTCAGGAGGCTGAGATTAGGAGGTTTGCAGTTTGAGGTCGGCACAGGCAAATGGTTTACACAAGACCTCACCTCCAAAAAATATCCTGAGCAAAAAGGACTGGAGGTGTGACTCAAGCGAGAGAGCACCTGCTTTGCAAGTACAAAGTCCTGAGTTCAAACCCTAATCACACCAAGAAAAAAAAAAAAGCAAGCACAAATAACAACAGAATAGGCAAAGGGACTTAAACTGAGATATCAACACTCACCATCTGAAGATGTCTTCCGCTTACTAGTCTCTGCCCATGCAGGTACTCCACCCATGGCATGCTGGAATCTAAGCAAAAATATCGAGGATAAAAATGTAGTGAACATTATAATATTCTAAAAAAAAAAAAAAACCCTAATACATGAAATATTCAGGTTAGAGCACCACTGAGAGTATGCATAGAATTTCTTCCAAAGAAGCTCCTACTACTTTTAAGAACAAAAGTTATCTTTACTCACAGGCAACAGTCCCAAGTTTTCATAAACCTCTACCCACCTAGAACCCAAATTAATCTTGGATACAGCACACCTAAAAACATATTCATGTAGTTATATGGCTATCTTATTTGTTCATACTAACACAGCCTAGATGTTCAGGACTAAGTAATGAAGTCTGTGATTATAAGCCAGAGTATATACAATGCATGGTAGATAAGGAAGAATACAGGAAACTTCTTCATGTATGATTTGAACAAAGTAGGAGCATTTCACCCTGGAAAAAGTAAGCTTTAAGAGAAACATGATAGCTGTGTTCTGAAGGGCTGGTAGCTGAAAAAGGGCAAAGAGTCATTCTAATTTTTTAATACAAAAGTACAAACTAACTGGCCAAACTAAGCCCACTAGCCATAGATAACTAGAAAAGTGAACAAAATATATAAAACGACTACTTGCAGAAATTGGACAACAGGCAGTCCAGTGCTATGATTGAGAAAAGGAAAATGAACAAGGTGAGCACCACCAGGAATTTTCCTGAGAACGTATTAAGATGACCCTGGCACACAGCCAAGAAAAACAGAAGACTTGAAAGAAGCTACACAAGAGAAAAGGAGAGAAGAGCCCAAAAACTCACCAATTCCCCTAGGAGTTTAATGACATGTCTGCTGAATACAAAGCTGTATATTTGTAGGATAAGACTCCACGAGGTTAAAGAACTATGAAGGAGGGCAGGAGGTGTGGCTCAAGCAGTAGAGTGCTGCCTCACGAGCATGAAGCTCTAAATTCAAACCCCAGAACTTCAAAAAAAAAAAAAAAAGAAAAAAGAAGCAGCTGGGTGTTGGTGGTTCATGCCTGTAACCCTAGCTACTTGAGAAGCTGAGATTGGGAGGATGGTGGTTCAAGGCCAGCCAGGGCAAATAGTTTGCAAGACCCTATCTCCAAAATAATCAGAGCAAATTGGACTGAAAGCATGGCTCAAGCAGTAGAGCCCCCTTCCCCTCCCCCCCCGCCCAAAAAAAAAAAAAAACTACAAAGAAGCTATAAATGGCACAATACCAAAGCCCAGATTCAAGCTCCCAACTAGTAAGAGGAAGGTCTTTACTGAACACTCAGGACATTCACTAGAGATTCCAGAAAGGTCATCCTTGGTAGTGGGGATAAACCTGTCTAGAGTAAGGACTACACTAGACCTGCTTAAAATCAAGTCTTGAAAGGATCAAATTGATATGCAAGCAAATTAGGTGCCTGCCAAAACAAAAAGCAAAACACTGCCCAGAATTCAATCAAATCACTACACATGTAAAAAAGTAGAACATGAACAGTAACAAAAGAAAAACCAGTCAATACAAACACACAGAAATGACAGACAAGATAGATTAGTTAAAATAGCTAACGTATATATGCAAGTTCTTAAAGGAAGCATGACATAACAAAAAGGGAAACAGGAAATAACCAAAACAAAAAGTTTCCAGCTGAAAAGATTTAAAGCTGAAAAACATAATGTCTGAAATAATGAATTCACCAAATGGGCATAAACAGACTATATACTGCATGATTTTGCTTGCATTATATTCTGTAAAAGGCAAATCTATAAGGACAAAGAACATAACAGTTGGCTTTTAGAGGCTAAAAAGGGTAGAACCAGAGGATTAACTACAAAGGGTTATACTACACTATTTGGGGTGACCTCAATGTTCTATGTCTTGAATCCCTATCTTGATTATGGTGATGATTAGCTGACTACATGTATGTAAGAAAATTCACAGAACACTTAAAAGGTGAATTTCACTGTGCATAAATTATATTTCAATAAAGTTATCTTGTTAAAAAGAAATGATGTACCAGCTAGAGGTGTTGCTCAAGGGTAGTGTGCCTACCTTGCAAGCATGAAGCCCTGAATTCAAACCTCACTACCACTAAAAAAAAAAAAAAGAAAAAGATGTAGCATGTTGTGAGGCCCTTCTGGGTTTGATCCCCAATACCCCCTCCCCAAAAAGCATAATGCTATTAATGCAACGAATCTCTAGGAATACTACAAATGTACCAATATTTAAGTATTTTTAAATGTGTTCAGTTAAATTAAAAGTATTCATATGAAATTACTTTAAAACACACGTATAGAGCTAGAGTGTGAGTGAAGTGGTAGAGCACCTACCTAGCAAGTTTGAGGCCCTGAGTTCAAACCCCAGTACCAACAAAATAAATAACACACCAACTTCCTAGTCCAATATATATACATATATATATATACATATATAAATGTATATATATAATATACGTATATATACAGACACACATATATATGTACATACTTTTTTTTGTTTTTTGGCAGTTTTGGGGTTTGAACTCAGGGCTTCTGCTTGAGATATGCCTCCAACCCCCTTGTTCAATTTTTTTGGGGAGTGGGACTGGGATTTAAATTCAGGGCCTCATACTTGCTTGCAAAGCAGCTGCTCTACCTCTTGAGCCATACCTCCAGTCCGTTTTGGTCTGGTTATTTTGGAGATGGGGTCACCTGAACTATTTTTCTGGGCTGGACTCATACCATGATCCTCCCTATATCAGCCTCCCAAGTAGCCAGGATTACAGGTGTAAGCCACCAGTGCCCAGCTCCCCAGTTCAATTTTTAAAGAACCTAGAGGCAGCAAAATTATTACAACAATAAGCACACCTAATTCTAGGATATCATTTCACTCTAAAAGGAACCAGCGTTCTAAAGAAAATAGGCTGATCTTGGGCAGGGAAAGGAAAAAAAGCTTCTAAGACCAAAGAAGATGAATGTAGGAGCCAGCTAGGCAGGGATCCCAAGGCCACCGCCAATTTGAGCAAAAACCTACGACTACAATTGATTATAATACACTGAATAAATAAAAACCTATGAATCCAAAAGAATATTGGTGAAACCCTGGCAGGGGGAGGAAAGCTCTACTTTTCAAAAGATTGCCATCATTAAACGTAGAATAAAAAAGCACGAGTTGCAAATAAAGCCTATAATGGCTTGCAAAACAGAAAAATTGAACAAAACATGACATGCAACATAACCCACTACAGCTCAAACTATTTAAAACCAGCTCACAAACACTCATACATTCCCAAACTAACAGTATGTAGCAGTAACTCCACATAAACTCCTTTCCAAAGACAACTGTTTCAGCAACTTGCTTGATTTAAAGATTTCTAGCCAACTCCCATCCAAGACCATAATTACTAACTCATAAAACTACCCCTACAGTTAACCCCAGTCCCCAAACCTAAAGGTATCCTTCCCTAATTCCTCCGCAGACACTGAGATTCTGTCAAGACGATGCTTTCTCCTGTTGAGCAAATTTGGTAAAACCAACTTTGTAAGATCAACAGACTTCCACGATTATCTATGCATGGAGATTTCCACACAGAGGAATCAAAAAAAAAAAATTACACCATTTTGTAACCCATAACATAAAGGCTGAAAACCACTAGGTGTATGTAAACCACTAGGTATACGTCTTAGGGGAACAGGTTCTTCCTGCACTGCCCAAAAACTTCATTCACTCAGATTATTTGCTAAAGGCAAAACAAAGGTTAGAATTTCTTTCTTTCTTTCTTTCTTCTTTTTTTTTGTGGGGGAGGAGCAGGAGGGGAGGGTTGAACTCAGGACTCACAGTAGCTAGGCTGGGTCTCTATTACTTGAACCATGCCCCCAGCCTGAGTGAAGTTCAAAACTCACTCACTTTGACTTTCAAAATTGAGCTGTCTGAGGGTTCACAATCATCAGTGATCACACTTTGTAGTTTCCTAGATATGCATAAAAGTCACATCATCTTAACAGATTTCTGTCAAAATGTTTAATCTGTGAAGCCCATCGGAAACATGTCACAGAAAAACACTATAATGAAGAAACAATCAGATTAGGGAGGAGTTAATTGGGAGTGACTGATGGATGCATACTATCTTTAGGGGTGATGAAAATGTTTGGAAGCAGACTGAAGAGCTCACTGCACAATGCTGTTAATGTACAAAATTATACACTTTAAAAAAGTTTAGGGCTAGGAGCCTGGCTCAAGTGACAGGACGCCTGCCTAGCAAGGGCAAGGCCCTGAGTTCAACACCCCAGCACCACCAAGTAATAAATAAATAAATACACAGCTAAGTTTATGTGAATTTCATCTCAATTTTTAAAAAAAGCTGGCATGCTGGAGCACACCTGTAATTCCAGCACTCAGGAGGCTAAGGCAAGATTTCAACAGCAAGACCAAAAAAAAATACAAAACAAAAAATCGGTGGGGTGCATGGCTCAAAAGGCAGTATGCTTGCCTAGCATACTTGAGGCCCTGGATCCAATCTCTACTACCACCAAAAAAAGAAAACTTTCAGAATGTAGAACACATTGTAAGACAACAGGCCGGAGCATTTCAAGATACCACTGTTATGGGAAATAAAACTAAAAGATGGGAATAATGGTTTAGATTAAGAGACTCAAAAGGTATCATGTCAAACGTAATGTATGAATCTTATGAGAACTGGAGAAATTAATACTGATTGGCCATTAGCTATTTTCTTAAGTATGATGATACTGTCAATAGAAAGGAAAAATCTCCTTATTTTAGTTGATGCACCCTGAAGAATTCAGAGGTCAAGTGTCATATTATCCATACCTTTTTCTCAAATGCTTTGAAAAAACACATACAGCCAAGCCCATAAAGCAAATGTGGTAAAATGTTTAAAAACCCACTGAACAGCAAGTGTTTAAATTTTTGAAAATTGTGAAAGCTGGGTATGGTGGCACACATCTGCAATCCCAACAATAGGGAGGCTGAGATGGGGGAATCACAGGTTTGAGGCCAGTCAGGACTACACAGTGAGACCTTGTCACAAAAAAAAGTTAAAAAAAAAAAAAAGATGATTTACTATACACAAATAATCAAGTTACCAGTATTAATGATTTTTTTTTGCATTTGTTGTATCCTCTTCCCTAAGTACTGACATCAGTACTCCTGTTTCAAAATTGAAATCCAACAGCCAAAGACAGAGCAAACAAAGATAAACCGCTGATTATATACCTCTTAGATAATCACATGAAAAAGGACACTTACTCTGCGTGAAGTCTCTTCTGAAGCTTATCTCTTGAAAGTTTACCTTCTGTGGCATTTTTCATCATATCTTTCCGAAATCGATTGTTCATCATGTCAATCCTTTAAAATACATAACAACACATTTAAAGTTACTTTTAAAGACTCATCATAGCTGGAGGATTGGTTCAGGTGGTAGAGTGCCTGACTAGCAAGCATGGGACTGAATTCAAACCCCAGTACCTCAACAAAAAAACAAAACTTCATACATGGCAAAAATGGATCAAAACAAAAACAACTAAAGACTCATCATAAAGTGATGGGTGCTCCCTTAATGGAACTTTAAAGGTGAAGACTGTAAGATGTGGCTATTTCATAGGCATATTCTCCATTCTTCCTCCTTTGGAGTCTCTAGTATTTCAGATCAACTCGTTAATCCTTGGAGAGTTAATATTTCATAATACTCATCATAACTTATCTAGATATACTTCACGCCACTCTTCAAATTAAATCCCAGAAAATGTTAAGAGTTAAATATACATAAAGCAAACTTTAAAATAGTATGAAGGAAAAATTATAAGAAAAGAGTTATCTCTCTGACAAGACATTTTAAAAACAGTAAAAATGATGATGAAAAAGATTCAAAAACTTCTGTGCACAGAAAGCTGGGGAAAAACCTACAATAAATATAGGTTTAAGGGCTAGAGATGTAGTTCAGTGGCAGAGTCAATCCCTAAGCACATCCAAAAAAAAAGGTTTGAAATGTAAGGAATCTGACATGCTAAGATCAATAAAAAATAGTGTCCAACAGACAGAGGCATAATACAGATTACAGATACATATATGAGAGAAATGCCAATGGTAACAAAAATGTTTTCTTAGCCAGGCACAGTGTCTCAGGCCTGTAATCCTAGCTATTAGAAGTGAGTTCCAGGCCAGCCTGAGCAAAAAACTTCACAACACCCTGTCTCAATCAATAAAAAGCTGGGCATAACTGGGTGCTGGTGGTTCATGCCTGAAATCCTAGCTACTCAGGATGCAGAGATCAGAAGGCTTGTGGTTAGAAGACAGTCCAGGCAAATAGTTGTCGAGACTCTATCTTGAAAAAAACATCACAAAAAAGGGCTGGTGGAGTGGCTCAAGGTGTAAGCCCAGAGTGTAGACCCCAGTACCAAAAAAAAAACCTGGGCATGTGCCACGTGCCTGTCATCCCAGCTAAGTAAGAAGTGTAAATGGGAGAACTGCAATCCAGACAAGCCCATGCATAAACATGAGACCCTATCCCAAAAATAACCAAAGCAAGACTATACTTTCAGGGATCATTTCTAAATCAGAGACGTTTCTCTGATTGTGTAAAGTACCGGAAACCACGAGGAGGAGGTGCAGTGCTTTCTCCTGAGCATGAAGCTGGCTCTCAGTGTTGCTTTACTGCAACTGCCATTTGCCACTGATGATCGTTCTTATTCTCTTTTAAGGGAATAAGAGGGAGAGAGCCCAGACTGAGTGGTAAAATAAATAAATAAATAAATAACCAAAGCAAAAAAGGGTTGGGGGTGTTTAAATTGTACAGCACCTGTCTGGAAAGCTCAAGGCCCTGAAGACAAAAAAAAAAAAAAAACATTTTTTTCCCAAAACAAATTAAGTACAGATACTTCCTACCACCAAACTGACAAAGTCTGGAAAAAACAATAAAATAAATCACTTTTCATAAGAATGGACTGAAATTGACATATTTCAAGGAGCATAACACTGGTACTCAGTCTGACAGCATTCATCAAGAGCCTTAAAAATATCTGAGCTTTTAGATCAAGTAATTCTACCTCAAAGGATCTCTAAGGAATTAATGAGAAAAGCAAAAAAAAAAAAAAAAAAAAAAGTTTATTCATAAAATTTACTTTGACATTAAATTATAAAAGGGACAAATGAGAAAATTTTATTTAAATTATACGCATTCAAGAGGCTACAACACAGCATAACCATTTAAGACTGTTTATAAAGGCTTAAAAGTGGGGGAAAATATTTACAGTATCACTGTGTAGAAAAAGTCAAAAATTAAATATATGGTACGCTTTCATCTATGAAATTTCATATTGTGTCAGCTTTCTTTCGAGCCTTTACTCAGTTTCCAGCACTGTGCTAAAAATTCTACATGCACTATGTAAGCCAAACAACCTTCTGATCGTCACTATTAATATTATTGTTTTATAAATGAAAAAAGGTTGGTCCAAGCTTGCCCCTGGTCACTTTGGAACTGGCCAATTAAGGAGGCAAGGTCAGGCCTAACTCCAAACACTGTTCTCTTAGCTCGTCTACACTTCCCAGAAGAGACAGAGAGACATATGCCAACATGTTAACTGCAGTTCTCTCTTGGTAGTGGGATTATCAACAACTTTTTCATTTCTATACTTTCTAATGTTCTTCAAGTCTTCACAATCACATATTTTTTAAACTAATGACTTTAAAACATGCAAAATAACTTTTTAAGTGTCCAGAGGGATTCTGAAAGGAAAAAGCAACTCACATTTCCTCATCTTCATCTTCTTCATCCACCCAAACTGGCTTCTTCTGAGGGGGAAAACTTTCTTTCGCTTCATTCTCCACTTCTGAGTCATCTGAGCTTCCATGTACTTGAACCTACAGAAGACAAAATGCTTTCAAGCACTGAGTTCTTCCTGTACTGTGGTGGCAGACACCACACCTTAGTGGCTTGTAGACGGCTTGATTTCATGGCCCTCTGATAAAATAAAGAGATGGAATGCTACCATAGCATATGCTGGAGAAAGAGCAGAAAACCACAGATCACTACTACTTATCTCTTTATCTTCTATCTCTAACACTACTATTTACACAAGCTCTAAGAGGGCAGGTGGTTTTTGTCAAGTTTTATCCGTTGCTGTGGCTCCTCCAGAACCTAGGGAGATACCTGGGAATCTATCTTGGTCGAATAGCCAGGAACAGAATAAAACAAACGATAGAGTGCAAAAAATATAACCAATCACGCAGGGCTTGCCATTGCTAACAAGAGTATCCGGCATCCAAAGACTTGCAAATATTGCTTAAACAGACGAATACAGTGCTCATTCTGTACAGTCGGTGGGCATCGTCATCACGCAGGGTAATTCGCAGATTCCCAGATTTCTGCCCACGAACTGACGTCATCAACGAAATGAACTCAATCACTGGCAAAGAAATGCATCAGGTAATCGATCTAGCGACCACCGCCAAGTTCCGGCAGAGGGTAACAGAGCCGAGCCGTGAAAAATGCTCACTACTACGGTTTTCACAATAAACAACGTGTGGAGCACAAGCTGCCTACGAGGCGCCTCAGCCCCTTCCGGGAGGAGAAAGACGCTGTCTCCGCCCCTTTAGGCTCACAGTCCCGCGCCGCAGGACGGGTGCGCGCGGCGGCGCCCCTCGGCGCCCGCGTTCGAGCCTCCCTCCCACCTGAGCGCTCGCCGCCGCAGGTCACCCAGGCTCCGCCCCGGGAACCTCACCGCCCACCGCGCGCCCCGCCAGAGCGCGCCCAGCCCGCACAGAGGCCTCCCTCACCCGCGAGCCCCGCAGCCGTCGCAGCAGCGCGTCCTCATCGTCCTCCACGTCGCCGAAGACCAGCTCCTCCAGGCATCGCTCCACGGCCGGTTTGTTCTCTTCCAGCGTTAGGCGGTTCCGCTGCCGGAGCCTGCTTTCTTCCTCCGCCGCCGCGACGCTGATCACAGTATTCGCAGCGCTCGACCGGGCCGGCGGCGTCCGCGGGGATGAAGAGAAAGCCTTTCGGGACATCTCGCCCCTCCCGGGTTTGGCTTTCCCATTCCATCTCTTTTGGGTCTTCCGGTCAGGTTTCGTGCCGGCTCTTCGATCTGGTTTCGTTCGACTTCTCCGTTCGGGCGGCATCGTTGGATTTGGGAAGAAACGCAGGCGCTCACGTGGAGCCCCACTGCGCATGTGCCCCCGGCGTCTTGCTCGCCACAGCCGGGACCCGGGAGGGCGGGAAGGAGTCTGCGCACCTTTTTGTCACGTGACCAGTACGTCCCGCCCCCTACGTCGCTCCCACTCCCCCCGCCAGCTCCTCCCCCTATGGGAGTTCCTCCGGGAGGGCCAATCTTCCGGGTGTAGGGGGAAACGGCGTGACTGGAGTGGAAAATTTTTCCAACACAACTTGGCAGCTTCAACCTATTGAAATGAACGCGAGAAAGCTAGTGTACAAACGGGGGTGACTGAAAGGAACTTCTCTTCCTCCGGACTTTAACTACCCGACTTAACGCAAGCTCTTATTTCCTCTTCCCTTCGTTTTGGTACGGTCCGTAGAGTACGGAGCCTGCAGAGGGTCCCACGCTGGACGAGAGAGAGGAGGGTAGGTGGGGAAGTGGGCCAATCGGGGCGCGGGTCACGGCGCAGGCGCGCTGGGGAGGGAGGGCTATGCTAATGTTGTTGATATCCTGGGGCCACCCGAGTTAAAGGGGGGAAATCCGGGGGCTGCCGCAGCCACCGCGGGTCTGGGCCCAGCCTGGGGCTCCCTGTACTCGCCGCAGTCCCGGGAGAGGCGCCTGCCCCCACCTCGGGGAGGGGGCGCCGCGGGCTCGGGGAGCACGGACAACCCCTACCCATGAGGCCCTGATGGAAAACACAAAGGATCTGGTGAGAGCCGAGCGCGGCAGCCGCTTTGTGTGCCAGGTTGGGGGGGGAAAGCCTGCCGCTCCCTGACCTCGCTCCCAGGCCTACTTCTCCATCCCACGCCCCCTCCACCTCCGGAGCTCCCTTCCCCCTACCGGCCGTTAAACGTTCAGGGGTTCCCCTCCCCCTCCCCTTCTGCCCCGAGCTCGCCGGGGTTTTTCTCTTCACTCTTTAGAGAAAAAAATGGAAAGTTTTCCTGTGCGCCCCCCACCCCCGCTCTGCCTGGGGAGAAAGGCTGCGTCTGTGACTTTTTCCTTTTTTTTTTTTTTTTTTAAAGCCAGTTGGGGGAGAGGGGAGTCCTCACTTCCCTGGGGGTGGGGGCGGGGGCGCAGTTTCAGTTCTTCACCCGGAAAGGTGCCCATGTGTTTGGGGGCCGGTGCCGCGAGGCATTTTGCACGTGGAGGTGGAAATATTGAAAGGGGGCGGGGTGGGCACGTGTGGGAGGGAGAGGTGGGAGTGGTGTTGGGGAAGCCGCCGCCAAGGCCGCTTATTTAAACCGGGTTCCAAGTCGGTGGACTTACATGACCTTTGCGTTCCCTTTTGTGAAATAAAAATCCTAACGTTTCAGAGTCGGAAGAGACATTAGAGGTCACCCAAAGCAGCCGCCCCCTCTGCAGCTTCTGACAAGTGGTAGGTAGTCTGGCCTTTCCCGAAACTCCTACAAACACCGAGCGCTAACTCCTGCGCAGGGAAGCCCCTTCCGTTTCTCAGTGCTTGTAATTGTCTACCCTCATGAGGGTCAGTCTCATTCATGTCCTGGTTAAGTAGCTCTTTTTTTTTTTTTTTTTCTCAATTTTCTTTTTTTCTCACATCCTCTTCACCCACATACTGCTCATTGGCCTATATTTTGAATGCCAGGAAAGAACAGCAGGGAAGTTGAGGATGGGGAGGAGATTTGAGAGAGAGGGAAGCCTAGTTGAAAACTTTGTTGGGGCAGTTTCAACTGAAGGTGGTTCTACAGGAAACGGGGGATTGTAATCTGAGGAATTCATGGCTGTTGTGTCTCCCTAGTGCACCTTTTTGAAATTATAAATTTCAGCGTCATCTCCATATTTCTGTCACAAACTATACTTGTTTGTTGGCCGAAGTCACTTTCCCTAAGGTTGCCCTAAAATTATCGGGACAGTAGTGAAGCAGATAGAAGAATAGCCTGGTAGAGGAATAATCAGAACTACTATTCTCCCGACATTTTGACTTATGTTCCTTGCAAACGTCTTCCCTGCAAAGGCCCCTTTTCCCAAATGCTTTCCTGTTTTTCTTCCTTTCTTTTCTTTAAGAAACTCTTGTCTTTTAAGACAGTTGACGTTTATGCAACACTTTTAATGTTTGCTTAGAGTTGGAGTACTTTTAATCTTCCCTAAAGTAGTATGTATCAGTATTTATCACTTGTTAATTCAGTTTCAAATACAGTCACTCAGTATTGCTCTAATGTCCTTCATTTGTTGAGCTGCGCTGTCTTTACTAGTTTCATTGGCATAAGAATCTTGGGGGCACATGTTTTCCTGTTCCTAGTATGGTAAAGCAGGAGACAAGACATAGTACTATAGAAGTAATCCATCTGGTCTAAAAAGCAATGAAAAATTTTTACCTTAAACTCCCAATCCCCTGTTAAAAATATTAGTACACTTTTTTTCCCTCCCCTTTAAGGCTTAAGAAACTGTTGCTTTGCTCTTGTGTGATTAAACTTATTTTTCTTTCGTTTACACCAACACCAAAGAGTGTTTAGAAAGAAAATAGCTGTCTTTTTTTTTTTTTTTTTTTTGCACCACCTCCTCTAAATAACAAGTAGCTTCTATTTATACAGAAACCTATACTCAGGGCTTGTGGATACCTTGCAAATTACAGGAAAATCTGTCTTGAATAAGTATCTGTTCAGAGTCTTATGTTTTTTAGCCATCTAATTTTTAACTTTATGTAAACTTTGACATTTTCTGTAAATTTAGTCACTAGAATTTAGCATGGAATTGAATACTCACTGTGAGAAAAGTTAATAGAGTTGTATAATCGTGTCTTTAAAGTTTTAATTAATAGTGAGTTCCAAATTGTTTTCCTGGTAACTTTAAGCATGAACTGTAATGACACAAGTTGACTGGCTTTGGAAACATTTGCATTCTAAACATACTAGACAGGAACAACTGGTTTTATTTTTAAAGAAGGCATTGCTATATATTTTTATGGCTGGTTCTGTGTGGATCTTATTGTGTAAGCCTCCCTAGATATTGAGATGTTCCTTCTAGTTCCTTAATTATTTTGTAAATGAAAATGAAATAAATGATTTTATGTTTTAAAACATACTACAGTGATTAAAAGAAGATAAACTTTTAATTTATAGGTGAAAATGACAATATTAATGTCATAATGTCATTCATATTAAACTGGAACTGAAGACATGGCTCAAGTGGTAAAGCACTTGCCTAGCATGCACAAGGGGACCCTGGGTTCAGTCCTCAGTCCCACAAAAAATAAAGTCATTTATATTAAACATTAAACTACTAAATTACTTAAGTCAGGAATGCTCAAGTGATCTCAGTGACCACATTCTAAAATAGAAAAGTCACTTATCTTTGCGTTGCTTCTCGTTTCTCTTTTTCATCTTTAAAATGTTTGCTAAAATTTAACCTTTTACACTAAATTCAAAGTAAAACAGTGTGTGTCCTTTATCTCAGTTTCAAATGCAAGAGAGAGAAAAACAGGACAGTAGAAGAAAAAGAACTTAAAATAGTTACAATAAACTTAAATATATCTTCTAACACCAGGGTACTATTAACTGTTCAGGTGTCTCTTTTTTTTTTTTTTTTTTTTTTTTGGCGGCCCTGGGGTTTGAACTCAGGGCTTCACACTTGCTAGGTAAGCACTCTACCACTTGAGTCCCCAGTCCTTTTTGCAGATATGGTCTCACTTTTTTTTTTTTTTTTTAATTTTATTCATATGTGCATACAAAGCTTGGGTCATTTCTCCCCCCTGCCCCCGCCCTCCCTTACCACCACTCCACCCCCTCCCTCTTCCCCCCACCCCCTCAATACCCAGCAGAAACTATTTTGCCCTTATTTCTAATTTTGTTGTAGAGAGAGCATAAGCAATAATAGGAAGGAACAAGGGTTTTTGCTGGTTGAGATAAGGATAGCTATACAGGGCATTGACTCACAATGATTTCCTGTGCGTGTGTGTTACCTTCTAGGTTAATTCTTTTTGATCTAACCTTTTCTCTAGTTCCTGGTCCCCTTTTCCTATTGGCCTCAGTTACTTTTAAGGTATCTGCTTTAGTTTCTCTGCGTTAAGGGCAACAAATGTTAGCTAGTTTTTTAGGTGTCTTACCTATCCTCACCCCTCCCTTGTGTGCTCTCGCTTTTATCATGTGCTCAAAGTCCAATCCCCTTGTTGTGTTTGCCCTTGATCTAATGTCCACATATGAGGGAGAACATACGATTTTTGGTCTTTTGGGCCAGGCTAACCTCACTCAGAATGATGTTCTCCAATTCCATCCATTTACCAGCGAATGATAACATTTCGTTCTTCTTCATGGCTGCATCGGTCTCACTTTTAATTCAGGCTAGTTTGGACCACAATGACAGGCACTTGCCACCATGCCCAACTTTTTTTCCATTGAGATGTGGTCTCCCAAAATTTTTTGCCTAGGCTAAGATGTGATCCTCCCAAATAGCTTGGAGTGACAGGCACATACCACCATGCCTGGCTATTGGTTAAGATAAGGTCTCGCTAACTTTTTGCCTGGACTGGCCTCAAAATTATCATCCTTGCTATCTCAGATGTGAACTACCAGATCCCAGCTTGTCTTCTAATTTTACATTTAAAAAAATACATACAGATTCTTTTTAGAGCTTATTTTTTAATAAACTTTGGTGGGGGGATTGTTTTGTTTTGTTACAATATTGGGGTTTGAACCAGGACCTTGTGCTTGCTAGGCAAGCACTCTATCACTTGAGCCATACTCTAGCCCTTTTTCCATATAGGATCTTGCACTTCTTAACACTAGCTAGACTTCCTTCGTCCTACCTCTGCCTCCCACATAATTGGGATTACAGGTGTGAGCCACCACATCTGTCTCTTTTTTTTCTTTTAAAGATTTTTTCCCATACACACACCAATTTACAGTTTCTTGCTTTTCTGGAAGCCAGAAGAAAAAGTGAAAAGGCAGCAGTTCCATTTGAACAAATCCTGAGTGTGAAGTAGAGTGAAATGTTACAGTAAGAAGGATACTAATAGACTAGAGTTGGATTTCTGTACTGACTAGTACTCCATGTCACCTATTGAACAAGATCATGTGCCTCATATTTCTTATCACACTTGAAGGGTTGATCTAGAATCAGTTAGCATTGTCCAGTAGAACTTTGTGCAGTGATTAAATGTCCTATACCTGCACTGGCCCGCACACCAGCTACATATGGCTATTAAGCACTTAAAATGTAGCTAGTGGATTAAAGAACTTAATTTTTTTATTACATCATCTTCCTTGATGTCAACTTAAATAGCCATGTCTGCCAAATTGGACAGACAGACATACAAAGGTGTTTTCTAAGATTAGCTAATCACTGGGCTCAGCTCTTGGGGGCTGTAGTAGAAAATGCACACCCCTCTCCTGAAGGTTGTCATGCAGTAGGTCTGCAATAAGCTTTGGAAATGTGTTTTTGATGTATACCCCTGAGTTAGGGAAACATTACATTAGGGGATTTTTGAGCTCTCTTCTAGTTCTCACTTTAGTGTTGATAATTTAGAATTTAGTATAGAAGTTAAGGTCTAGACAAAGTCAGCAATCTCAAATCTAAACTAACAGGTGAGAATCAACCCTGCCTCCCCTCTGAGGTTTCTGTAAACCTCCATGCAGATGGAATGATTGCTTTATAAGCTGCTGTGATAATTAAAACATTAAGATGTCTTCCCAGAATCTCCTTTTTACTGTACTATTTAGTTCCTACTCCTATTACAAATTGATTATATATAATACTAATTATTAAAACATCAGAGCCTAATTATTTTGCCCCAGTTTGCAATCTGGTCATAGGTCAGGCATATCAAGTCTAACAGTGTTGTGTTTCTGGTGCTTATCACCACAGTTTCTATATATTGCTCAGTAAATATTGGTTAATATTATCTATTACTTTGTTTAGACTTTTTTGGCAATACTGGGGTTTGAACCTAGGCCCCTTGTGCTTGTTAGGCAGGCACTCTACCACTTGAGCCACACCCTAAAACCTTTTTAACTTTAATTCATTTGTTAGATTATTTTACATGCTATTGTATGCAGACATGTAGTTAACTCAATTTTAATTAATATTCTCTATTTTGTTGTTGATTGTGTAGCTTTTGAGCAACCAGCTCCATAATTTTTTTTTAAAAGATGAACATACTGGGGACATAGTTGAATGGTAGAGTGCTTGCTTACCTAGCAATACTCAGCACCAGATAAAAATGAAAATAATTAAACACCAAGAAAATGTTACCATTTTATATCAGTGTTTTTAAGTTGTACGAAATTAACACAGTACTGAATAGTCATCATATTTTCTCTGTATTAACATAAGTGATCTAACTTGATTGTTCAAGCCACACAAACCTAGCTTAAATTTGAATTTTGTTACTTGGGTTAAAATTGATAGTTGACTTGGGCTGAG